GCAATACTGAGGACGCCTACTGTTTTATGATATTTAATATAATTGAATATAGTAATATTTTTCCCACACCTATGTGAATTTTTGAATTATATAAACTTTATTTAATAGGCACTCTTAAAAATCAATCACAATTTGCACATTGCTTCTTCTGACGCCAACAGTGCTCTAGTAGCAATCCAGGGACATTCCCTTAATTGATCACAACGCTGATCAAGATATTGATAGCGAGTGTAGAAGATTAAAATTATTTATTTCTCAAGTTAAAAGATCCGATCAATCATATGATCACAAATCGGCTGTTTTCCATACTTCCTAATTTTTCGGAATGAAAGTTTCCCAGCACGAATTCACAACTTTCTCTTCAAACCAGACGCGAAAACTGCACTCTCTCGTTGCTAATTTACTGAGTTTTTAACTAACAGGATCCAGTAAAAAATAGCCAGCAATTGTACAATTTATTTTGGCAGCTAATTTGGAACTCGTTCATTTTGTTCAATGCTTATTTTGTTCCGATTATCTACCTGAACATTTGTAAATTTATTTGGATATCTCTAAAGAGACAAAGATACTTTAACATATAAATTTTTTACTTAGAACTGTTATTTAGTTTTTTGTGTTCAGATTTTTTTATTCACATATGTACATAAGTGATAGTAATAAAAATAACGCTATTGAAACATTTTTTTTTATAAATGAATGAATTTATCTTTACATATTATTTTTAATAATCAATTGTGTTATTATTGTTACAATTTTACTAAGGGCCGTTAATGTGAAAATCACGAAACAGACAGTTACATTTAACGATATGATAATCTCGTTTTCATTTTCTCGACCTCCTGTTAAATGTTTGATTTGCTTTGATTTTCGTTCGTCGGGAGGGGACTTTACTTTTCAATTGCCTACTCAGTCCAAAGAAGCACTTGTTGTCAAGACTGATTCTGCATTTTATTTCAAGGCTGAAATTATTTATTGGTGTTAATGCTGGTACCTGGTAGACAAAATTATCTACGACCTCGAAGTTATGACTATAAACAGAGATGTGGAAGCCGAGTCGGGAATGCGATGACGGCTGTTGAGGCCAATAATGTCAGCGGCTGTACATTCTTATAGAAGATGGTTCATTTTCATTCAAGTCGTGTGGTATCGAACGTCTCGGAGAGGTCCTTCCGATACTGACAAACCTTTTAGTGTTCTTTAAGGTCAGTTTACGCAGCCGTATAAGTTTTGCGGAGATACCAAACGCTCCTTTTTGTGCTGTCCACGAAAAGATGGTGGATGTCGCCCCTCTTTCCACGGATCTTTTCCAAGATTTGACGCATGGTGAATATCTGGTCGATGGTCGATTTTTGAGGTCTCAAGCCACACTGATAAGATCCAATCAGTTTGTTGACGATGGTCTTTCACACAACACACTTGACAGGACATTAAAGGCGATATTAAGGAGACGTATCACACCATAATGAAGCAGATTATGGGATCCTCTTTTCTGTGGATTGGGCAGAGCACACTTAGGTTCCAATTGTTGGGCATGCTTTCATCCGACCATATTCTGCAAATTAACTGAGGCAAGAACTTTTTCAGCTTTCCGCCTATATGTTTGAATAGTTCTGCCGGTAGGCCGTCAGTTCCCGCCAGTTTGTTGTTTTTTAAGCAAGCGATTGCTATTCGAACTTCTTCATGGTCAGGTAATGGAACGTCTTTTCCATTGTCATCGATAGGGATATCGTGTTCACCATCTCCGGACCCTCTATCTAATACTCGGCCTCTTTCTTTTTTGTTTGCAGATGCGTCTTGCTTACCTCTTAAGCTCTCGGTATCTATCCCATCCCGCACGTGTTGTGGTCGATCGCAAGGTTTCGAGATAGGTCTGTTTTGTATTTTTGCGACCTTCACGAAATCCAATAGTTTCATTTGCAGCTGTAAAGCCGAGTATTTTCATGAGTGTTTTCCGAGAACAAGTCGAGTAGAAAAGGCAGTCTGTTGTGATTGCAGCTCTTCGACGTCGCACTTGCCTTGCAAGAACAGTGGGACACGTCTTCCATCTATCACAACATGATCGATCTGGTTTTGTGTTTTTCGTTCAGGAGACAGCCAATGTGTTTTTTTATGCTGGAATCTAGTACTACATACAACCATATTTCGGGCTCCGGTGAATGTGAACGGTCCGACAGTCGTACCAAAGATATATTCTTTGCCCACCCTTGCATTAAAATCGTCAAGCACGATTTTCACATCGTTTCGGGAGCGGCGCTCGTAGGTATGCTCTAGGCACTCATGAAAGGCATCTTTCGCCAAATCGTCCTTCTCTTCCGTCGGGAAGTGAGCACAAGACAACCATATGTTGAAAAAATTCGGGTGAATGCCAGTACTCGTCGACGAAGTCTCTCTCTCACCACAAATCCAACCCCATATTTGCTCTCCTTTATATGGCCGCTGTAGTAAATGTCAGAAAAATCTACTCGCTTTTGACCTTTTCCCGTCCATCGCACATCTTGGACGATGGCTATGTCAGTCTTTATTCTTACGAAGGCATCAACCACCTGGACAGTGGCACCTTCCCAATTGAGGGACCGGACATTCCAGGTGCATGCACTCAAATCGTGATCCTTAACTCGTTTGCGGGGTTCGTCAAATGACAAGAGGTATCTCATCTGAAGCGTTGCTACCTTTTTCATTGGTGCTGGTTTCTACGAAACGGATCCCAAACCCAGCGAGGTTATGCGCTATGAGGGTAGGTTTAAAGTTTTTTCACATTTATGCCTATAAGATCCTGTCGATGGATTGTTGGAAATACTAAAGTCCACCGTCAACAAACTGAACCGACCAATGACCAGATAGATATTCACCATGTGCCAAATCGTGGAAAATACCCGTGAAAAGAGGATTGACACCCATCACCTCTTCGTCGATTTTAAAGCCGCCATAGACAGCACGAGCAGGAGCTGCCTTTACTGGTCTGAATTCGTTATCCCCGCAAAAGTTAAATGGTTATGTAAACTAACATTGGGCAACACTGAACCCTACGTCGAGATCGGGAAGGATATCTCCGAGTCGCTCGATATCAAACGAGTTTTCAGACAAGATGATTTTTTACGATGTGACTTTCTTAACGTGTTTTCGTAGAAAATAATACTTGTACTAATAGAGAAGGTACAATCTTTTATAAGAGTGTACAGATTCTGGCGTAGGCCGATGATATTGACATTATTGGCCTAAACAGCCGCATTATGAGTTCTGCTTTCCCCAGACTGAATAAGGAAGCAAAGTATATGGGTCTGGTAGTAAGCGAGGGCAAGACGAAATATCTTCTAACACCACACAAACAGTCACCCCATTTGGGACTCAGCTCCCACGTCACTGTTGACAGTCATGACTTTAAAGTCGTAGATAGCTTCGTCTATCTTGGAACCAGTATTAGCCAGCATGGACGATGGCAACATCTGATGAGTCTGCGTTAGGAATTTTCAAGGTAAAAGTCTTGCGTAAGATTTACGGTTCTCTACGAGTTGGGATATGCGGCGTAGTTGACATAGTTCAACGAATCAAGAAACAACGGCTACGCTGGCTAGGTCGTGTGGGCCAGATTGATACGAATACTCCAGCTCTGAAAGTTTTCGATGTAGTACCCACCTTTTGAAGCAGAGGAAGAGGAAGACTTCCTCGCTATTGGAAATACAGGTAGAGAGGGACCTTAGTCAAGTTTTTATCCCTAATTTGCGCCAAGCAGTGAAAAAAGGAGTGAATGGCGCGATGTTTTTAATTTGGCTAAAATCCCGTAACCGGTGTCAACACCAGTAAAGTAAGTAAGTAAAAGTACTTTTCTACTGTAAACACACAGTTTACTCCGCTTAACTTGACACCGCTGTTATCATAATCGAGTTTCACACTCAGCTGAACTTACCAGTAGTGCGCTCTTCACTCTTTCGCTTCTGTTCTCCAGCGTTATCAAACTCTGCGATTTTCTCCAATTGGACCACTTACGTTTCGTTTCAGGGTATGTCAATGGTCTAGATACGATATGCCAAATCAGTCAAACGTATGTATGGACCTTTCCAATTGCACAGCAAGTACCAGATCTCCTTCCTTATGTCTCTTCCATAGTGTTTCCTTATCACATCGGGACGCTGCCAGGCGAAGCCGGTGTTGGTCCGGCTTAGGGTTACAATCAAAAGCGCGGCCGAAGGCCTCCAACTTACAAAGAAGTTTAGCTTATAAATACTGTCCAAGGCGAAGCCAGTGTTAAAATTGCATTCTAGTTGTTTTATATTAGTATTTCGTTATTATATGTGGCAACACCAAAATTCAAAATAATTGCTTTATGTATAAAATAATAGGGTAAAAACCCCAATTTTATGCAATTTCAACTTTGAATATCTCAAAAATTTTAGGTCTCCGTTGGGTTTGGTTTTCGGTTTCATTTTTTCCAAAGCCTGGAACCATAAAGAAAAAGCATCCCAGTATTTTTAAGTAAAACTCTTATATCAACAAAATTTTTTTTTTTTGCGAAATTCTCATTTTATTTTGTTTCGATATTGTCATTAATTATTAGGTTATTTTACGGAGTGGCAACGCCTAGCCAAAGGTTGTTAATGTGTTTTGTGAAAAGTGTAACTTTAAATGCTTATAACTTTTATACTACAATTTTTCGCGCGAAAAATTAATATTTTTGGTCATTGTAGACCTCGTACTACCATACCTGAACTTTTCATAAAAAAAAAACTACAGGCTCCAAACTAAAGACAATCCTCTCTTTCGTCAAATCTAAACTTTTCACCAGCCCAATGCTTGCTTTGTAGGCGGATCACCAACTAGTTCACTTTGTTGATGCCTAATATAATATGTCTTACACACCTCAGCCATAGCTTGTACTCTGCTTTAGGATATTCTTACATGTGCCCACGATATTGGCGCTCTAGAACATGCAGTTGTTATCGGTATTTTCCATCTGTCAGCGATATTTGAAATTTACACCACAATATCGTTATATCGAGATATCGACATCAACCATCCTATCTCTAGTTTAAACAATTGACCGATTGTGTAGGTTTGATTGGCAATTGCTGCATTTCTGTCTAATAAAATTGTCTGCAATTTAAGTTGAAAGAATGGCGCCACATGCGACTGCACCATTACCACGGTATGATGAAGAAATCGGGATAAACGCCATATTACTAGGTCCACCAGGATCCGGTAAAGGGACACAAGTAAGAGATTTGGCAGTATATACTTTCAAGCTCATTTAACTGATACCGGCTTTGGTTATCATTTTGTTACATAATGTTGAAGCGAAATAAGTATTTGATAAGATGTTTGTTGTATTACTCTCAGTTAGTTTCTTATAAATTATTGTGTATAAATTTAACGCCTGCCATTCTGGTGTTTGCCATTTATAAGCAATAACATTAACTTCGTTGAACTATACTCATTGAAAAATGAAGTAAATGAACTTTGACCGACTCTATTCCTTGTCTTAAACAGCAATAAAGTGAAATATAATTTGCTAAATACTGATATTAATAAAGGTGTGCGATGGAGCGTTTAAATATACGCATACATTATAAAAAATAAATAAAGTGTGCCCTAGTAGTATTGGAAAGTTGTAACTAGAAAATGGTACAGCTTGCAGATCACTTACAGTCCAAGCAAAATTTGTGCTTAAGCTTAAAGTAAGGCAATGTTTTAATTTCTAATATTAATGAAATAGAACTTCTTTTCACATTAATGTTCTGGTATGCAATATGCTCTTATAGTTTTAATTCAACATCATATAATCCTATATTTTTATTTTATTTGCCACCGAAATATAAAACCCCTCCGTTGAATTTCTGGCTCTTTATAAATAACTCCTCTTAAAGATTCGGCAGCAGCTCAGGAGCGTTGGAGCGTTCAGTTTAAATTATACGCTGTAGCCACGTAACCAAGAGGAGAAGGTGAAATCCAAGTTAGAGAAAACTCCACGTTGGGCCACATTCAGTTAGGAATGTACCTAAAATATAAACACTTTGTTTATTATTAATACATTAACATACACTTAAAGTCTCATTTTAAAGAGGATATCAAAAAAATTTCTCCTAACTACTTAGTTTCTAATCTTTTAATAATATTTTTTGATTCTAATTTATTAATCTCTCTCCCGCCAACAAAAATGCGGTTGCAACAACAACCATTGTCGTATTTCTTTAGAAGATCCATTATTTTACTCTTGGAAGTACGACCTTTGCAGCTCGTGTGCTTGTCTTTGGTCCATACATCAAAGTCCAAATTTTGTCGTTCTGTTGTTGTTGTCACGGCCATATTGTATTGATCATTTGACTGTTTGCATTCATGACACTGTTATGTAAGGCCTGGGTCTACTGCGGTATCCAGACATAACACAGCATAATTTTATACACCTTAACTGGAAACAAAAATGTTTCACTGTTTAAGTAATGCATTGTAGACATCAGAAGGCCTCCCGTCATGGCTCTGGTCTGTTTTTTGGATGATCGTAAAGAATGACCGGTCAGGCTGATTTTCTAGCGCGCTACGTTTTAACATTTTTCCCTCATAGGTAGAAATCGAAGTCGTAAAGTGGTAAAATAGTTCAGAATGCCAAAAGCTTATTATTTGTTGAATTTTTTAGGTCATCGTTAGGCACATTTTGTTCTAGTCGGAACTTCTTCGTCTACCCACTTTGGGTAATCAACAGACTCCACGGTCCCAAAGAGCTCCCCGCAGCATGACTCCCACAACCCTTCACCCCCATCCCTACCCACAACCAGCTCAGCATCCTCGATGTTGGAGGAGGTGTCGTTGGTTGTTGTTGTAAATGTGGTCTTGCCAGACGCCGATATTGAGCGGTCCTCGGCATATGAACAAAGAAATTAAACTATAGCGCTGTTTCAGTAAGAAGGATTTTTGTGATTCGGCTTGCCGCAGGTTGCTTCGTTGTATAGTTAGAGAGCACTCACAGGAGGAATGTAAGTAATAAATAACTCAGACACGACTTCGCCTGCCTGGTGCTGCAGTGCTGTTTGTCGTCCATACTCCAGTTGTTTGCTTTAACCATTTCAATTTCCAAATTGAAGTCCAGGAAAGATAATGCCATAGAAGAACTATGACAACGGTCGTTGGACGAGAGAGAGAGAGCTTACATCGTTACATTTGTCTTCATTTTTGTTAATTTTGTGTTATCGCACCTTTCACTTCATATTATATTTGGTCAATTGTCACCTAGCCTTATATTACTGAATTTTTAGCAATTTCAACGTTAATCCTTCGGGATTTATTTAACGATCTCACTTTTGTACACTGATTCTAACGGTTTTCCCAAACCCTTCGGCTGCGGGCTTTGAGTTGGTAAATAAAAGCACTGAACTTATTGACAGCTTTTTATTTATTTATAGTACTAGACGTCGCAGCCGGGGTAGCAAAGTGGTTAGCATTGCGTACTGCCATTCGGCAGGTCCAGGTTCATATCCCTGTGCGACCAACATCCAAAAGTTACAGAAAATTAATTTAAACAAAAAATTAAATTAAATTTTCTAATTGTGGTCGCCCCCGGCAGGGAATTGCAACGCCTCTGAGTGTATTTCTGACTTGAAATAAAGGTTCCTAATAAAAAACCATCAGCCGTTCGGAGGTAGCTTATTATAAACTGTACCTCCTTCCTTTGGTTGGAAAACCATCAAGACGCAAAGCCACAATTTTGAGGAGGGAAGCTCGGCCGGAAATTGCTTGAGCAGTTCTGGTGCGCCAATCTTATACTTATGTATGTATTAGATTATTTTGAAAATCCACTGGTTGCATTCAGCGAACTGAGCGCTCAGTAAACTTGTTCAGTGAGCAGACCCTGAACGCAATGATTAGTTAGCGCTCAGGATCGCGAAAATGTAAAAGTATTTTTACTTGAAAGTGCTTGTGCCAATTTACTGGATTTTTTATGTTGTCAAATAGAATTTGCGCTAGATAAACAGTTTTTCCAAGAAATAAATTTAAAAGAAAGGACCAAACATTTTTATGAAGAAAATGCGCCCCTTCACAATTAGTTTCGGCAGTTGAACTAGCGGTTAATGTGGTCGATTCGGCAGCTGAAGTAGCAGTGATGTGGTCGTTTCGACATTTAAAGTAGCATTGAGTTCATGCAAATTAATCGCTCACTGAATATGTTTACTGAGCGAAATCAAGAAAATGAGTTTACTGGATTTCCGATATCTACCTGTGCGTCAGTTGAAGGGATATTTCAAGGAAGTTTTATTAACAGGACATTGTTTTAATAATTGTTTGAGAGTGGTACAAATTAATTATAATAAAATTTAGACTAAGCAATATATATGTATATTGAAATTCGTGAATCTAAATAGTCAGTTAGTTTTGCTCACGGAACCCTTATCAAGCGCACTCAGGCCTGCTGCCCTTTTGTGATGCCTATGGGGGTCCTATGAAGGGCACTCTTCACACCATTCCACATGCTCAAATCACTTGTTATGTTTTATGAACCTTAGCAGATTAGTGATGCCTACAGATGAGAAATCTGCAGGGAATTGAAAAAAAAGTTTGCGAGGAAACAATAACGAGGGCTAGGCAGTGGCAGAAAGGCACTTTGGTGCAGGGCTGCAGCAGGAAAGGACCGTACGTTACGTGGCCCTAGGTTGCCAGTGCTCTACTGCATCATCGCCATTTCTGAACAACCTACATGCCTTTCCCAACCATTTCCGGCAACCCATCCTGTTCAGGAACAACGAAGCAGCTCCTAGAATCGCACACGGTCTATTTCGGGACAACCCACAATACGGACTGATGGTCTAGACAATCTCTGAACTATAACATCACTTTGCAGTTGATATGTAGTTTTAATAAATGTAATTTAGTTAAGTCTGAATATATATTATATTTTTTTAAAAGTAATCGTCCTTGATTAGCCGTAATTTGTAAGGCATCTCAAATCAAAAACACATTAACTGAAAAATTTATTTGCTAAGTTTTTTCAGAAATATCCCTTATCGCCTATACGATTAACAATATCAATTAAAGTCAGAATATGTTCTACACAAGTCGTTGAATGAACTTTAAATTAAGAGCCGATAACGATTATTTATAGCTCCAAAAAATATTCATATTTGTTCATTACATGTTGCATAATTTGCGCTTATCTGCTATAAGCAAACCGTTAACTCTTTGTTATCAATTTCCGTTCGTTTGCTTCCATTACTTAATAATCCTAAAATTAAAAATATAATATTTATGTTAGGTTTGGAATCGTTTTGCCTAAAAATACACATCTTTTATTCCAATTAATGTAGTATAAAGAAATATAAGTAATTTTGATGCGAATTGTCCATTTAGATGATTTCAAAAATATTATATTGTTACGATTATACTAAATCCCCTCGATTATTTTCTAGATCCTTCGGGTACGATCTCTGGATTGTTAAATAAAAACTCGCCAACTTAATTTGCAGTTTCTTTCGTTATAAAGATTCTATCTAATGTCCTTTATTTTCTCAGTAATTCACAATTCAATTATACTGCACTTTACTATTTATAATCACTAACATCAACTTTCACAATTTCCTCTACTTAAATGTAATTCCCAACGCGTTCACTTTACGTCTTCACTGATGTTAACGCCAACCAATTTGCTTTGTCACTGCTTGACTTGCAGCTGAGTGTCGCCTTTATATAGCAGTCGGCTGCTCGCAGACGAAAGCGTAGAAGCATCGAATTGTTCGCTATGGAAGGTTCTTGTTTTATCGTTTCTAGAACGTACTAGTTATCGGCTTCTCTCTTTCATCTGACATTCGCCTCGCATTTTCGCAACAATATATATGTATATGCATACAAATGGAGAGAATTAAGTGTAGACTAAGCCGCCTCCGAAAGATTGATGGTTCCTTGCCGAGGGGCGAGCGCAATTAGAAAATTTAACTTAATTTTTTTTTTTAGTTTATTTTCAATAATAATCTTTAAATGTTGGTCTTACCAGAATTTGAACCCTGGCCTTCCGAATGTTCAGAATAATTTAAATCATAAAATAATTATTGTTTTTGTAGACAATTTCTAAAACAAAAACAAATCGTCATTTTTGATCATCAAATTTATTTATACAGTGAGTCAAACTGAAACTATGTTGTTGTTGTTGTAACCGCAAGTTATTCCCCGAATTGGTTTTCGGGGAATATTGCGGGAGTGACAGTCCTTGGCCGGATAAAAAATCCGGGTCGTTCCGGTATAAAGACCCGACTGTCGCGGGAACTATTGAATTTTAGTCGCCTCTTACGACAGGCATGCCTTACCACGGGTAAATTCTTGAGCCCCTAACCCGCAGGGATTAAACTGAGACTATGATATGTTTGAGTTCAAACCTTTCTAACTTGAGAACGACTCAACCAGTTTTCAATAGAAAAAATTCAAAAAAAAAAAAAAAATATTCAACTAAATCTTGTGTATACACATACACGTATGTATATATTTATTTTAAATAAAATTGCATTAAATTTCATATTAACTAAATTTTGTAAATCAAAGAAAAAATGGGGCAGTGAAAAAGGAACGAACTGAGTGAATTAATAATATTAACTAGTATTTCTGTGCACCTATTACGGCTTGGAAACGTGCATGGAATCTACTATGTTTTTGTTACTTCTTTTGGAATATTTACCCAAATTTCCTCTATGGCTTCTTTTAAGGCATTTTTGCCATGAAGTTTGCGCTTTAGTAGTTCCGTCTATTAGGTGCTTTGGTCTCTGAGGAGGATTGAGCAGAACTTTTTTCACATTTCATAGCTACCACTCATTTACAATCTGCGAAGTATGCTTGGATCATTTTCTTGGATGAAGGTAAAGGTTGCTAGAAATTGTAATTTGTGTGTTGTTTTAGGAATATGTTCCTTAAATATGTCCAAGTAACACATTTTGTTCATTAGTCCTTCAATAAAACAGAACGAGCAAACTCTAGTTGTCTACAATGCACATTAGGCTAATTTAGCTCAGTACCTTCCTTTCTCCAAACAAAAGAACGACCGACAGAGCTAAATATATTAAATTTTGGCTAATCTGTAAAAATAACGTAATTTCGAAACTCTTTGGCATACTCTAACCATTTCTTCACGACCACCCCTGAAAGTAATGAATTTTTCTGGGTGTGTATGCTCAATAATCTTTACTATATAGGAAGTTTCTAATGGTTTGTGGGTTTACATCCACTGTTAATGACTCCTTAAGAGATTTTGCAAAATTTTCGTGCTGATCACAACAGACTCGAGTTTCCTTAAAAACACTGTCGAGTAGAGTTCTTTTAAATTCCTAGAAGCTTGTTTAGTCATATTAACGTTGTGAATACTTTACTACAAAACCTTAGTATTAAAAGTTGTTAAAAAGTTTAATAAATTTAAATTTATAGGAAATATAATTAAATAAACTATAATCCGATAAAAATTTTTAAATATTGCACATATTTTCACTTTGAGGACATTTTATTTGCCACAAAGTATATGTTTTATGGGATTGTTTAATTCACATTTTAAGAGAAAATTTTCAGTTTTAAAGCGGCACTTCATTTAAAAATGTATTAATGTATTTAATTTTAACTGTCAACTTACAAAAAAAAAAATAAGAAAAAAAGCAACTTAGCCTAACAAGCCAAAAATAATCGTGATGGGTTCCAATCCAAAGCGCGGCCGAAAGCCGCTAACTTACAAAGGAGTTTCACCTAAGAATAATGTGTATAGCGAAACCGGGGTTTGTCCGGCCCAGGGTTATAATCCAAAACGTAGCCAAAAGACGCCAGCTTACAAAGGAGTTTTATATTTTTAATTTTTGTTAATTTTTCCATGCAAAATGTGCTAAAAAAATAAAAAATTTAGTCTTTTCCAAGAGCTTTGTAGAGTTTAATAGAAGACCCAGGAGTGGTATAAATATATTAATCAAAAAAACTCATTGACTTTCGAATAGGGTAGGTGGAAAGTGCCCCGCCCCCTCCCTCTCCTACCTTCAAAATGGGAGATAAGTAAAGATTCCCCAAAATTAGATCTGATCCGAAAAATACAACTTAATTGTTAATAATTATTTTCTGAACGATAAATAAATATTTATATATATTCGGTCCCTGGTTTTAATGTTTATTTGCAATTCTTTTTTAGGCTCCTAAGCTGAAGGAAAAATTTTGCGTATGCCACTTGTCCACCGGTGATATGCTCCGGGCTGAAATATCTTCGGGATCTAAATTAGGAACAGAGTTGAAGAAGGTAATGGATGAAGGAAAATTAGTTTCCGACGAACTAGTAGTGGATATGATTGATAGCAATTTAGATAAGGCAGAATGTCGGAATGGATTTCTTCTTGATGGTTTTCCTCGTACAGTGGTGCAGGCTCAAAAGGTAAGTGCTCATATACACATAGAGTTTCCTTATTATATTATTATTAAAACAAAATTAAGTATTATATTTATTTAATATATAAATCCAACTTATCCTAAAGCTAAATATTAAGATATCAGCGTCAACTGCTATGTCTCTGGGCTGTGTCATTAGTTCTGTTCGTTGCAATGGTGGACAGTACCAATTTTTACTTGGCCCCTGCGGGTTCCCGCGACAGTCGGGTCTTTATACCGGAAAAACCCGGATTGTTATCCGACCAAGGACTCCCGCAACATTCGCCAAAAAGCACATTAGGTAATATTTTTGCGGTTATAACAACAACAACAACAACAACAACCAATTTTTTACTTAATCCAGTCCGGAAAGGCAAAACGCCAGTATAATTTCGTGCCATCGACTTTCCCAACGAGTTTCAGGTTGAAGCTGTAGTTGTTGTCTTGAAGTGAAGAAGTGGATTGGATAAGTCGTCGGGATAGTAGTTCACTTTTGAAAATGAGTCATAAATATCCTGGCCTGACGCCAATATTGGACAATCATCGGTATATGAGATGGTTGTATATTCAATAGTGGCGAACCCCTTGTTTAATTTTTCTGTGTTTGGTTGTTTGACCACTCAGGCGGAAATAAGGAGTCCATCGACTATCTGGGTGTTTACCGCCTCTGAATGGCTAATAGTATTTTCCTGAAAAGCATGTATCTCAAATCGGAGATACAATCAGAAGGATTTACATTCTAGCCCAAGGTACGACCGCACTGTTAAACACTCGGCTATAGCGGGCGCCCCGAAACTGGCTTAGGTTGTCGAAAAACTAACAGCCTTTGCCCGATGAAATCCCAGTAAACTCCATGATAGCCGGCATTCCTCATCGCACCATCTCTAATTTTGTTCTTGTCGAAAATCAGTAATTTTAATCTGTCGAGTTTTTTTGATTCAAAGAGGTTTATAATTTTTCTTGTGCTGTAATCTAGAACTACAGTCCACCAAACTTCGGCACCCGTTGAAGTCGATCTGCGCCAACCCATTTGGATATATTTCATAGTGAAGGCTGAAAGGTCCAACTATTGTGCCATAAATACCTTCTTTGCCGACTTTTGCGAGGGCAACTACGCTCCCTAAGCTCACAAAAGACATCTTTGTTCACATCGACCTTTTTTTCTACTGGATCTTGGACGCAAATCAGCCAAGCAGACATGTCTCCCAAATTGTAATTCATAAAACTATTTAGCTCATTTGAGCTGGTTCCTATATGATGGCTCAAAACCGAAGCCCGCTGGAAGCCACACCTCTTTTTGAACCGTTTTGAGAAAAGGGCGTTTAATATTTCAGAAATAGTGTACTCTTCGTGGCTTTAATTTTTCCGGTTCAAATATGTAATACATACATATATCTCAGAAAATAATGATACTTTAAATTTTCAGAGACTATACTTAAATGTGTGTGCATGCCGAAAATACTAAATATTTTAACAAATTATACGTATTCAAAAAAAAAGTTTAATATAATTCAAATCCGTAATAATAATAATTACTCTCTTTTTGTACTAATCTCAGCTAGACGACTTACTTTCTAAAAGAAATACTAACCTTGATGCCGTAATTGAGTTCTCAATAGATGATAGTTTGCTAGTACGAAGAATAACAGGACGGCTGATTCACCCACCTAGTGGCCGTTCATATCACGAAGAATTCGCTCCACCAAAAAAGGACATGCGTGACGATGTAAGATTCTTTAGCCCTTTTTCCTAAACTTATTTTTAAGTTTTCTTTCTTTTCATTTTAGATTACTGGCGAACCTCTTATAAGACGCAGTGATGACAATGCAGAAGCATTAAAAAAACGGTTGGAAGCGTACCATAAACAAACCAAACCATTGGTTGACTATTATGCCGTAAGAGGTCTGCACTTCAAAGTTGATGCAGCTAAAAAAGCTAGTGACGTTTTTTCACGAATTGACAATATTTTCTTGAGTCAACGACGATCTCGTCAGATATTATGAAATCAGTGCGAAAAACTGTTATAACAGTTCTTAAGACAAGTTGTATATTTCCATTTTACAGTTTTTAATAAAATAGCCAACTGTAAAAAATATATTGCAGGTTTACAAGTTTAAAGAAAGTTTAGTTTTTGCTTAACGAATTCACTTACATTAAACAAAAATGAACTTATTGTTCCTTTTCGGTTTGGTACCTAAGTATATGCCTTCTGGGATATACATATTGTGGCTTTCTGTACTTTGTTTAGTTTAGATATTATATTTTGTATTGTAATGGAACTGATCAAAAGTCCCAATTAAGGTTCAATTAATGCAAAATCGTGCGGCATTAGCCGAGGGCTTAGGGCTACGCAATACCATGTGGATAGTTACATGTTTGATTCATGGCCAAACCAGCATGCAAAATTGTTGAAAATTAGTTGGAACAAGTGGAAAATAGAGACCGTTAAAGTAGAAAAAAGTACGTGTGCCTAGTTTTTCTGATTATAATTATTCGATTTTTCATGTATATCCTTCAGCTGGTATCATTAAATTTGAGCTAGTCTTTAGTATTATTAAAAAAAATCATTCATACCATAAATTATTAGTAAATTTTCTGGTTAGAAGATCTCTGCAAAACTAGTTTCGGCGTGCACCACTTTTGCTAATGTCCACAGTATGGCTGAGTGTTGCTTTTTTTCCAATTCCTAATTGGAACATCTAAATCAAATTGCTTTGGGGCATAGTTTCCTGTTTCGTTAAATACTTTTTGTGAATGGGCTTCTAGAGAAATTGTATATATTTGATGTTTCATTGGTAAGTGAAAATTCATTTTGTTCTGATTCGTAATCATGCCTTTATGATTATCGACATGTTATCAGGCTTTTAGCATTTTGGATCTCGTAACTATAGAATGTAACGGTTGACATCTCTCCCCATTTTCGAAACCTCACAGAAAACTAGCTATGGATGCAAATGGAGTGGAACCAAAACCATTGCCTACGCCGATGATATAGCCATTGGTTGCAGGTTTATGGAAACCCGCTGTGACTTGATGTAGGGAACACTCAGAAAGACATCGTCCTGATCTACCTCTTTGGCCTCTGTGTTAACAAAGTAGAACTAGTTATATTTACGAAAAGATTCCTTGTCAACGACTGCTGGATGTCTTGAAGCAAATACTTCACTTGCCTAACAACCTGGCTTTGGGCTTACACTTCTGCCTTTTCCGCAATCTGGAAATAACAAATTGACAGACAAATTTTTAATGCCATAAATTTGTATTAAAATTTTCTCAGAAAACTTTTTCTTTCTAATGGCGTCGCAACGGCTCTAAAAAATCTAATTATTAAAATAAGAATTAAATTCCTCTTTTAGCTCTGGGATCGTTTTCATTTCAACTCCACAACTTCTTTATTACAATAAAAATTATTAAAAAGTTGATGTACAAGAGTAATAGTAAATAAAATCATCCTCAACGATGGTTCTCCTATAGACTTCTCCACTCATTCCATGTTCACTCACATAGACCTGAATTTCTGTTCTTCCTTCCTCTTCTCTAAAAATTCCTGGTGTTTTATCGGTGACCTCTGTGGTAGCGACCACTTCTCCATCCTCCTTCCTTCCCAGCTGTCTCACACTTTAAACAGAGTTCGCTTCAAAAAAGGTCAAGCTGAGTGGAATCGATTCAACCAAACTCGTGCAGCGCAATCTAAGCACTTCCCAATCTCCTGTAGCATAACCTAAGACACCTCACGTATACAAAAATTAACCACATAGCTGTAAACAATTCCATTCCCCAATCCTCTTTCAAACCAGCCGAATTGGCACCACGTTGGTGGAACAGTGAACTCAGTGCAGTAAGGCAACAAAACCAGCTTGCATGGCATGAATTCAAACGTAGCCGTTTAGTAACTAGTGAAATTAATGCCGATTCTGGTACTAAAAAAATTTGGCCTGACATATGACGGCTAACGGTTTTACTCTCCTTTTCCCAATCTCCTTCCTCAAATCCTCACGTGGTAACCTACTATATCTCCGCGATATAGCCTCAGAACTCATCATACACTTCTCCAATGTTTTCTCTAACTGAAATTTCCTGCCAGAATTTGCACGCAGCAAACACTCAACCCTTAAAACCCCCTCCAGCTAGTCCCTATCGACCAAGTTCGAGGATTCCGAAATACCCACCCCTGAAATCTTCTCTGCCCTTTCCCTTGTTAAGGGCAAAACACCGCGAGCGGATATAATATCATACCCCATCATTTGGCATCTCCATCCTACCCTACTATCCCAAAAAAAAAACCCCGTTACAATACTTTCCCTCGATTTTTTAAAAGCGTTCGATAGTATATGACATGACCTGTCATTTTAAGACAACTCATTGCATGGAAAGTTGGCGCAGAAATTTCCAAAATCATTCCTCTCCAAACGCAAAATAGCTCGTATGTTACGTCCGTTCCGTTATACTCCCCTTGATAATGGCCGTCATTCTCTTTACAATTGCACTTAACGAAATAAACGCTACTTTAGCTGTTCTCCCTCGCATTAATAATCAAATTTATGCCGATCACCTCGTATTATTCTCAAAACTTTAAATTTGTTATTAGTCATGGCTTCCTTAACTGTAGGGGAATTCCTATCGTATTATACGATCTTTGGATCGTAAAATAACTTAACGATAATTTTACGATTTACCATTACTAAGCACAGTATAACGATTCTCGGATCGCGAATAAGATTTTTAACGGTATTGGTTATTTCTAACATGTTATAACGATTTTCGGATCGCAAAGAAAACTTAGCGATAATTCCAAGGATTTTGATAATGCCGCTTCTGGTACTTATTTTAACGATATGCGCTCTCTCTCGCTATAGTCGCAAACTACTCGACAAATCGCTAACTAAACGACGAATATTTTCGAGTTGTAAGCGATATCGACAAAGTTTTGTTATTTCATTAAGGTTGAAATAAAGTAAAATAAATCGGGAAATTGCCTTAATTTTATAAAAATGAAAATAAATTTATAAACAAAAATAGCTTTCGAGTATTTGCCATCCATACATTGTACACTTCATCATTGGGTATAAGTTTGTTTCCGGAAGTTGAATATCGTTTCCCTTTGAGCGCAACTGAGTTTTTTGATAGCCAACAAAAAGGCCGAAAATAGCAGCATTATCTACGGAGAAACAGGTACTAATATAGACTTAATATTTTATCAGTTTTTACACCATTAAAAGGTTTAAAGGTTCTAGCAACCTTCCGATTCAAATCAATCGTCAATAAGCTTTTGTTTTCATCGCTTGACAGAAGCAGTCAACCGTTCAATGCTTCCTGCGAAGGTTAGATTTCCCATTACGCCGCTTTCGATTGCGAAGTAGCCTTTGTCAATTTTCATGAATACCATTCTACCAACGAGCAAATGGTGAGAGTAAATTTTTTTCAATAACTATTGAAGGCAAGTACCCAAGCGCACGGCACAATTATTTTATTTAGAGCTCCTCTTCAGAGCAAAGAGTCATGCATGATAGTTCAAGCCACAGCATATTTTGGATTTGATAAACTTTGTAATGCATTATTCTATAACAAATTTATTTTTTTGTCATTCCGCTTCTTTTCGCATATTTTTACGTTTTGTTGAGCTGTGGTGCCACCTTTCTTTCATTTTAATAAATAAATAATGTCGATTATTGTAAAAACTAAGTTAAAGAATCGCATAATCGTTAGCGCAAGCGACAAAATTCGGAACTTTGCGATCCGAAAAATCGTGTCGAAAAAGCTACAGGATTGCACTGCTCATATATAAACAACTTACTTTCGTGCTTACGCGATTATAGCCTATTTACAACTGTGTGACATTCGTTTCTTCTATTTGCTGTTTGGCGCCAATTGGAAATACCAAGTATAGCCAGATCCTTCTCTACCTGGGCTTTCCGACGGAGTGGAGGTCTTTCTCTTCCTCTGCTTCCACCGGCGGGTACTGCATCGACAACTTACAAAGCTGTAGTATACGCATCCATACGGATCACATGGCCTAGCCAGCGTAGCCGCTGCTTCTTGATTCCCTAAAATATATCAATGTCGCCGTATAATTCATACAGCTCAACGTTCCATCGCCTGTGGTAGTCGCCGTTGCCAATGCGCAAAGGACCATAAATCTTACGCAAAACCTTTCTCTCGAAAACTCCTGTCGCCGTCTCATCAGATGTTGTCATTGTCCATGCTTCCGCACCATATAGCAGGACACGGGAACGATGAGGGACTTGTAGAGTTTAGTTTTCGTTCGCCGGGAAAGGACTTTACTTTTCAATTGCCTACTCAGTCCAAAGTAGCACTTGTTGGCAAAAGTGATTCTGCGTTGAGATCCAAGACTGACTTCATTATAGGTGTTGATAATGTTGGTTCCTAGATAGAAGAAATTATCTACGACTTTAAAGTTATGACTGTCAACAGTGACGTGTGAGCCAAGTCGCGAATGCGATGACTGTTTGTTTAATGACAGGAGATATTTCGTCTTGTCCTCGTTCACTACCAGACCCGATTGCTTTGCTTCTTTATCAAGCCTGGAGAAAGCAAAACTAACGGCGCGGTTGTTGAGGTCGATAATGTCAAATTGAAGAAATCGCAAGACAAGGAGTCATCCTGTCTGAAACCTCGTTTGGTATAGAACGGCTCGGAGGGGTCCTTCCCAATTCTGACTGCGCTTCTGGTGTTGTCTAGCGTCAGCTTACACAGCCGTATAAGTTTTGCGGGTATACCAAATTCAGCCATAGGGGTGGTGGGTGTCGATTCTCATTCCACGGGTCTTTTCAAAGATTTGTCGCATGGTGAATTTCTGATCAATGGTTGACTTAGCAGGTCTGAAGCCACACTGATAAGGTCCAATCAGTTTGTTGACGGGGGGCTTCAGTCACACAATACGCTCGACAGGTCCTTATAGGCGATATTAAGGAGGCTTATCCTACGGTAATCGGCGCTGACAGTGGGGCCCCCTTTTTTATGGATTGGGCAGAGTAGTTCTGCCGGTAGGCTGTCAGCTCCCGCTGCTTTGTTATTGGTCAGGTAGTGGAACGTTTTTTCCATCGTCCTCGATTGGGGCTTCGGGTTCACCATCTC